GCCCCATTGATCCCTTCTGCTGCAACAAAGGCCCCTCTTCCCAGCTGGCCCCAGCCCCCAGCATGGAAAGGCTGACGGCCCTCTAACAGTTCTGTGCCAGGGCCCAGCTGAGGCAGCCCAAGGATCAAGCCGGGCAGCCTCCATGAGAGCAGCTCAGCCCACAGGGAGCGATGGAGCGGGCTCAGGCTTACCTGGTTCCTCGAGAAAACGGAGGCCAGAGACCAGGATGCAGAGCCTGCAGCAGAGCAGCCTTTTATGCTGGGTCCCAGAGCCCTGTGGGGCCACAAACATTCCTTCTTTGTGAAACATCCAAACTCCTGGGAGTGGCCACTTGCTAGGCCTCGATGCTGATCAGGTCCCTGCCTCTTCATCCCGGCCTGTTCCTCTTTGTACCAACCAAAATCCTGTGATGACTCTGAGAAGAACTTTGGGATTAAATGGAGCTAAAAATGATCTACCTAAAATGGCTTCATAAATTTCTCTGGACAACCTGTTCCAGGGCATCAGTCCTCTTAAGGGAAAAGTTTCCTTTCCAATATCTAATCTAAATATACCTATGCTTTCAGTTTTGAATTGGTAGCCCTTGAACCATCCCTACACACCCCAGCCAGGTATCCTTCCATTTCTTAACTGAATGTCTCCTAGAAGCCCTCTCCTCTCTTTGCTATGCAGCCCCAACCCTCTCATCCTGTCCTTACAGGCTAATGGCTCCAGCTGCCAGGTGCTCTTTGTGGCTCCTCTGGACCCACTGCAGCAGGCCCGTGTGTTTCTTAGGCTGTGGGTCCTAGGGCTGCAGGCAGTACCCCAGGTACGGTGTCAGGAGAGCCGAGCAGAGCAGGACAATCCCCTCCCTCAACCTGCTGCCCACACTGCTCGGGATGCAGCCCAGAATAAGATTGGAATTTTGCACTGGGCTGCTCGCTGGCAGTGCAGGTTCATGTTCAGAATTTCAACCACCAGAACCTGCAGGTCTCCCTCCACAGGGCTGCTCTCATTCCACTGAAGGCCTACTAGGCTGTGTCCAGGTTTGGGATTGTCCTTGCCTTGGCATTTGACAACCAGAGCTCTGCCCTCAGCTTGGGAAGTTGGGATCCTGCAGAAAACAAGGAATTAAACACGTAGGAAGGTGATCAAAGGCATGCCTACATCTCTCCCTGAAAGACAAATTGACCCATTTTCCCAAACACAAATTAACCCACTTTGCTCAGTGTGTCCAGCCCTGAGGTTGGGATCTGGATGGCAGCTTTGGGGCAGAGGCTGAGGGCAGGAAGCACAAAGCTCATGGCTCCTTTTCCTGGGGCAGGCATCATTTGCCCATTCACCTAATATCATACTTCAAAGGGATATTGGATCAGTCTCCCAAGAGCTTGTTGGTGTCATTGTGCTGTGGAAGAGTTGGGAAAATCCATGAGCTTCAGGCAAACCTGAATCATGCTGATGTGGAAATGAGTGCACACAGTGCCGTGGACTCAGGCATTCCATGGATACCACAGCACATGGCCTCTCTTCCATGAAGTATTTTGCCTTTGTCAGGGGCATTTCCAGACCTTTTAGGACCAGTCTGAGACCACATTGTACATCCATTTATTCATGTGCTGCAGCTCCAGCTTTCCACAAGGCATTGCCATTAGGAGGCTGCTCAAGTGCTCAGGGGATGCAGGGTGACCCAGGATAATGGAGAGTGGGAGAGACCTGTGGAAGTTCTTTGCTCCCTCTCTGAGAAGAACAAACTTCCCAGCTGCCACCAGAAGCTGTGGGCCTTGTCCCATTGTCCTCTGAACACTGCCATTATCAGACAGGTGCCTGTCCCATGAGCAGCACTTCCAGGGATGCCCTGCACTCCCAGGAGGCCACCAGGAGATGGAAAGGGCTCCTACAGATGAGCCTCCCAGGTCCTCGATGGGGAGGACCAGCAGGAGATGACACTGGGGCTGTCTGCACTGATGAGCCAGGGGTGGAGGGGGACATGGAGCTGCTGCCTCCACCACCTCCTGGCAGTTCTGGAGAGAATGGAGCTAAACTCTCCTGAGAGCTGCACTGTCACAGGACAAGAGGCAGCAATCACAAGAGGCAAGAAAGGAAATGCCAGAGTTCCCTGGAGGAGGACAAGGGACAGGCCTGGGAGAGCTGTACCAGGGGTGCTGATCTCTTTTGTAAGCTGTGTCTGTGCTTAGATGTCAGCAGGACAAGGCCCAGAGCCTGCTGAGCAGCTGGGGCAGTGTGATCTGCCCAGAGCAGTTGACAGGAGCACAAGAACCTCCAGAGTTCCACACAGACCTGCTGGGGGTGGTGTGGGGTACTCTGAGTCATTACAGTCCTTGAGCTGCCCCCAAAAGACCCTGCCGGGGGAGACAGCAAATGCAGGAGATTGCAGACAAGCACCAGGTGATCCATGACTGAGAATACAAGGTGGGGAAATATCCTTCATGGCAGCAGAACATTGAGGGTGTGAGCTCTGTTATCCTTTGAGCGCCTGAGTCTGCAGCACCCAGTCCACTGAAGTCCACACTGGGTGACTCAGGTTTGCCTGGAGCTCAGGGATTTTCCCAGCTCTTCCACATCACAATGACACCTGCTCTGCTGCTCTGGGAGACTGATCCCGTGTCCCTTTGAAATGTAAAATGCATGGAATGGGAAACCCCATCCCAGAGCCAGAAAACAACAGCCATGGGCTCCCTGCCCTCAGCCCTTTCCCCAAAGGCACCAGCCAGGTCTCTGCCCCTGGGATGAGCACGCTGAGTAAAGCAGGTCAGTGTGGCTGTGGGTCTGTCTCAGGGAAGGACACAGCATCTCTTTGATCACAAAACCAGGCCGTGGCACAGCCTGTCACTGTAAGCAAGTTCCCCATGGCTGTCACTCAGGCCTGCAGGGGACATCCTTTCAGGTGAACATGGACTTCCCTTGCCACTGAGCTTTGCCACCTTCCCACACAGTTGAGTCTCTTCCCCACTATGGGGTTGTGCAGTGTTGACTTTGTGCCTCAACTGACCCTCAGTCTTCTGGAGGTCTGTGATAACCCATGAAAGAAATGATTCTCAGGATGAACCTGAGTGTCTGCACTGAAAGCTCCTGAGAGATGAGGTGAGGAGTCATTTCATGGCTGACTTTAACAGTAATTGGAGCACAATTAACCATCAAGAAAAACAAACAGCAGAAAATTATTGACACGACACAAATACTTTTCAATTCACGTTTTACATGGGTTTCGGACCTCCAAATGAAATTGCCTTAGGAAGCTGGGACACATATTAATGATTTCCAAGATGGGTTGTGTGAAACTGGTGAAAAACGCCTGAGATGAAAGAGGCAGGGTCCTGATCAGCATCGAGGCCTGGCAAGTGGCCACTCCCAGGAGTTTGGATGTTTCACAAAGAAGGAATGTTTGTGGCCCCACAGGGCTCTGGGACCCAGCATAAAAGGCTGCTCTGCTGCAGGCTCTGCATCCTGGTCTCTGGCCTCCCTTTCCTCGAGGAACCAGGTAAGCCTGAGCCCGCTCCATCGCTCCCTGTGGGCTGAGCTGCTCTCATGGAGGCTGCCCGGCTTGATCCTTGGGCTGCCTCAGCTGGGCCCTGGCACAGAACTGTTAGAGGGCCGTCAGCCTTTCCATGCTGGGGGCTGGGGCCAGCTGGGAAGAGGGGCCTTTGTTGCAGCAGAAGGGGATCAATGGGGCTGAGCCTCAGGGGGATGTGCCCAGCAGAATTTGCACCTGCCCTGGTGTAACAAAATGTGCCAGTGCAAGCCGGGACATTGTCTGACACGGCCATGTGTGCTCTGGAGATGGGCTGTGACCAGTCTTTCCACAGGGCCCTTAAAGCCACTGTGCTGGCTCCTCTTGCTGAAGTGGGGCGGCCTTCGCGTGCCGTGCCACTTGCAGGGCAGCAGGAGTGTGGTGGGAGCTGTAGGCACAGAGTGTGTGTTGGAGACCAAATGTGTCCCTGGCGAGAGCTGAGGGACAGAGAGACAGAGTGATGCTGAGGCTGGGTGGTGCTCCCTGCTCTGTGTTGCAGCTTTGCCTCCCGCACCGAGAGATGTCTTGCTGCAGACCCTGTCCCCCACGGCCCTGCGGCCCCTGTGGCCCAACGCCCCTTGCCAGCAGCTGCACTGAGCCCTGCAATGCCCGCTGCGCTGACTCCACGGTGTACATCGAGCCTTCGCCGGTGGTGGTGACCCTGCCGGGCCCCATCCTCACCTCCTTCCCTCAGAGCACAGCCGTGGGATCCTCTCTGTCAGCTGCTGTGGGCAGCTCCCTCAGCACCGCGGGGGTTCCCATCTCTTCTGGGGGCTCCCTTGGCCTGGGGGGCTCAGGCCTGTGCCTGCCTTTCTCCCGCTGCGGTCAGATCTGCTGAGGCCGGCGCATCATCCCCGCTCTCCTTGGCAGACGGGCCCATCTCTTGCCCTCCCTGGCCCCCCACACGTCTTCCTTGGTCTCTGTTCTGTGCCGCCGCTTTTGCTCCTTCTCATTAAAGCCTTTGTGCAGCAGTGCTGGAGAGTCGTGGTCCTTTGTTCTCCTCCTCCCTCACCTACCACCTGCTCTGCCAGGGAGATCCTTCCCTCTCCCATGGAAACAAATGGAAGCCCAATGATGGGGCACTGCCCAGTGCTGCTGGAGCTCCTTTGAATGATTGCAGAGCAATAGAAAGGAATTGGCAGGGTAAAGAGGAAAAGGAGCCCCAGAGGAAAGGAGAAAAAAGAAGACATTGACAGGGGTTGGGCATACCAGTAATGGCACACAGAGTGCCCTGCTGTTCCTGGGGGATTGATCCAACCTGGAATCAGCTGCCCAGAGCGTGTATCCCAGTCTCTGGTTTTGGATGCATCCAAGACAGGAGGCAGTGGTCCCAGAGCAGAGTCCTGTGCCTGGCCCATTGGGAGTGGGTGTTGTGCAGCTCAGGTGCTGTGTGCTGGATGAGAGAAGAGTGCAGCAGTGCAGCAGCAGCAGAGGAGAGGGGTGAGAGTGTACGCATGCTGAGGGCAAGCATGCTGAGGCAACCAAAAGGCTCAGGTCCTACTGAGATTTGAACTCAGATCACTGGATTCAGAGTCCAGAGTGCTCACCATTACACCATAGGACCTCCTGCCCAGCTCACCTGGGGCCCCTGTGCTCAGCCTGCCTCAGCCTTATGGCCCCAGACAAGGCTGCCTGCCTTTCCACTGCTCTGCACATCTCCTCACACTAACTGCAGCCTTCCTGCATGCCCTACACACACTCTCACTTCACACCAAACTTCAGGCCAACAGCACCACAGCTCCCTCCAAGCCTGACAGGACCTCTCTTACACGTGCCACGCTTCAAACCACCCAACATCTTCTCTTCCCCAAATGGCAACAAGCCCTTTCTCATTCAGGCAAACTTAGCTGCCCAAGTTACCTTCACACCCCACAAGCCTCCTTGCCTTCTCCTCTCCAGACCAAGCCACTCCAGCTCCTTAAGGACTATGGAGAGGGAAACTTTGCCCCATCTCTACAAAAGCTCAACAAAGACCCTCTGCTGAACCCAGCAAAGGGGCTGGAGCAGCAAGGACAAAGGACAGCTGACACACCAAGGGCAGAGCAATGACTGACCTCCAGTTCTTGTGAGGAAGTTCACTCACTGCCTATGCTGCACAGCAAGGAGTTCAACATCCAATACTGCATGGCAGTGTGGTATTTTGCATTAGGATTCCTGGCTAACAGTTAGTCAGACCCTGATGTGAGGAATGATGTACTATTTTAAATGTTTACTGTAGTGCTGAAAAATTAGCTTGGACGCCAGAGTTTCAATCATCACTCTCAAAATGTAACAATACATGTAACAATTGTGATTCACAGCATACTGGGCTATCTCACAAGATGAAAACAAAGATTGAAATTGCTTTTCAGCTGAAGCTTCCTATGACATTTGGTGGTTGACTTTACATCAGAATATGCTTGAATATGGGCAAGAAGGGATGACATATTATCAAAAACGTCGCATTTGGAGGGGCCCGCCTTGGGGAATGTGTTACTCTCATGCTTCAGCAGCAATGGTTGCCATGACCACTTTCTAGAAGCCTTCCAGACCCGTCTTCTGCACCCGAAGTGTAAAACGCCAGAAAGCCACTTCCTCTCGCCGGGGGTTGTGCAGGGATGAGCAGCCCGCAGAACAGGCTGGAAGCGCCGCTGCTCCGATCTCAGCAACAGAGTCCCGTCAGTGCGGTGTCTGTGACTGCGCGCCTGGCAGCGCTGCCCCCTTCACCCCACACTCACAGCGCTGCCATGGATTTGCTGCCAGCTGGGGCGAAGCATCTTCTGTGGCTGGGTAGGGGCAAACGCCGTGCCTGTGCCTGTCCCGCCGCCTCCCCCGTCCTTCCGTTCCGCAGGCTCGCTATTCCATATTTCTTTGCCTTTATAGGAAAAGTATGCGCAGGTCCGGGGGGGCTGCCCTGAGTCACCGAGGGCTGCGGTGCCCGCCCACACCCAAGGGGCCGGGGCCGCCGCCGGGGCCGCCGCCGGGGCGGGGTCAGCGCTGGCCGCCAGGGCCGCAGCGCAGCGGCCGAGCCGCCCGTCCCGCCCCGGAGCCCCTCGGCGACAGCGCCGGGTTCGCCGCCATGACGGGCAGGTGAGGCCGGGCACACGGGAGCCGGGCGGGGGTCTGGGCCGTGCCCGCCTTCAGCGCCCTGGGCCGGCCGTGACGTGTGGGGAACAGCTCCTTCTGGCCCCGGGTAGCGCCATGGGGGCCTGCGGGAAGGGTCGGGGCAGAAGGCTTTGCTGCTGTGAGGCCTGGGCGGAGCGGGGCACTCTCCGGCCCGCCGTGCGAGCGCGGAGCTGCTCCGCTGTGCCTGAGCCCTGCGTGGGGACACAGCGGAGGGCAGAGCTGGGCGAGCAGCCGTAGGTGTGAGCGGCTGTGGGTGTGAGCGACTGTAGTGTGAGCAGCCGTAGGTGTGAGCGGCTGTAGGTGTGAGCAGCCGTAGGTGTGAGCAGCCGTAGGTGTGAGCTGTGCTTGCTCAGCAGCCGGGTTCTCTGGCAGCCTGTGCCCGGTGTGCCCGCACCGCTGCCCATCGGGGCCCTCCTCACTGATCTGCTCGCAGCTCCTCTGCCCACAGATTCACTCTTCTCTTCTTCGAGCTGGCCTTGGAGTTAACATATTCCGGGAGCTGTTTAAATCTGGAGCTAGATTCTCCTCTCATGCTGACAGCGGAGAACTCTGTGAAGCAACTTAATTGACAGTTGTAAATGAGGAGTGGGGAAGGCATTTTCTGACATTTTGTGAGGGCTTGCACAAGTGCTGTAATGTCACGTTTTTGTCCCATCTGTAAAATAAAAACCAGATGTTATAAGCAACTTGTGAAAATAAGCTTGCTTTTGTGAAATGTTTTGGAGATGAGAAGCATGAAGACGTAATACTACAATTAGCAGGGTGCCCTTTTTAGGACACTCATCCTCATGAGTCCTACTATGTTTCTGTAGTTCTGAAGGATTGTTCTTTGTGATTAGGAATAGTGAGATGGATTTAGAGCACTTTATGTGTAAGTATTATTTCCTTTTGCGTCAAGTCTTGATGTTTATATTATGCAGCTTTTTCTGATCAAAGTGAATCCTGATTAGTGGGTTGTTGTGTGTGAGAACCTGCTGAATAACTGTGTATGCTCATCTGTGATTTGGGAATGTATTATTTTTGGTCTCTGTCATTAACAAATTGATGCTTTTCGATGATTATACATGCTTAAAACTCTTCTGGGTTTTTCCTCATGTCTTTAATGGTCCATTTTTATTTTTCTGACATGTGAAACAGGTGTGTATTTACAAGTTTGCATTCATTTTCTTACAGCTAGAGGAAGACTCGGGAGCCTTAAATGCTCACAGGTCATGGGTACCCATCCAGCTCTTAAATGGAGAGAGGATGGAGAGGACTTTGAAGGAGCTGTGGCTGTATGAAGCCAGCTGATTTTATTTTTTCAGAACTGTGGCATGGTACTGTTTAGAATGACAGGCTTACCTGGAGTGAAGGCACTCATGAGGACAGTGGGAAGTGCTGGTGGACAGTCATTGTCTTCTCTCCACGCTTCCCCTGACACTTGCCTGTTAAAGTGTAACACTGCTCATTGGAATCTCTGACTTGAAGCCTTGGCTTGGGTGGACAACTCCAGGGTAGCTGAGACACTGCAGAGTGTGCAGTTGAAAGTGATGCAGGACTTCTGTTCCCTTTTCCTTGGGTTTACTTCACAGGGCTGTTAAAATGACCAGGCCTTGGCTTTAGCTTGTGACAAGTGAAGGCAGGTGTTATTTAATGTTTCAGAACTGTTTGTGCTGGGAAGTGTGTCAGCTGTGAACATTTATTTCTAAAGTTCTGTCTGCTGTCATTCCCAGGACAGGACAATTTACTGAAGTTGTTTGCCACAGCTGTAACTGAGCTGCTGTTTCCTTGTTAATAGTATCATCCATTTAGGGTCGTGGTTTCCCAGCAAAGCTTTACAGTGTCTGTGTAACTTGCGCTGCTCAGCCCTTGCCTGGCCAATGCCATTGACAAGCCCCGTGTTCAAAGTTGGTTTTCAGGCTGGGACAGACTCCTGTGGCATTGCAAAGAATTCAGCATTGAGAATGAATGTCCTTCCTTGCATCCAGCTAGGGGTCACTCTGCTGAGTGGTGCCCAGATGTTGTTCCCTGTTTGTTGTCTGGTAGTTCTTCAAGTCTGCTGACACTATGCAGTCAGATGTTCTCCAGCATTTGGGACATGGGATTTTCAGGGTTCTGGGAGGAGATGAACTGCTTCACAGCTGGAGCATCCCCACAATATCCATCAGTGGGAGCCTTCCTGAGCCAGGAACGGTCGTAAATGTCCCTTTGGTCTTGAAACTGTTGACACAGGGAATGATTGTGTTGTTTTAGAGTGTTCTAAAGTGAAAAAGACTGGAAAGCATGGGGTGCTGAAACAGTATTATTTTTCACTTCACCTTTCTTATAAAGTAGAAATATGAAAGGACTCTCTTCTAGATAATCTGATTACAGATGCATTATTAATATTAAAATACATTAAAAATAACTCCATTTTCATTGTGTTCTATTTCATTTGGCTGCAGAGAGCATCTCCTGAATTTAAAAAACTGCAGTGATTTGATTTATTGATTTTTAGCATTGGGGAAAAGTATAAGTCCGGGGAAAAGTATAAGTCCAGGGAAAAGAAATGCACATCTTTCTTTTTGTGTACTCATAGTAAAAAAAAATTACTAAAATTAGGTGGTTATGTAGCAAATGAAATGCAAATCTTAAACATATCACTAGTTACATTTTTACAGTGTGAGGATTGTGCTTTGCTAGAGAAAACTGATAACTAGATAATTGGATTTTAGAAATAATATTTGTGACTGCCAGCTCTGGGCTGGGCTATTGGGGAAATAGAGGAGGAGAGCCACCTCCCTGACCTGCTGGCCACACTCTTTACTTTTATGAGGTTACATGTTGTTTTACCTACATTTGAAAACTAATTCTGTGTAAGAGATGGTGTATTGGATGTAACAACAGTATGTTTCAAAGCAGTCTTTCTGTGATTTCCAGTGTTGATAAATACAGTAGTTGTGATTTTTGGAGCATTTAGAAGTTAACTATGGTATTTCCTGACCAATAAATAAGGGAAGACTGCTTCTAGAATTGTATTTGATATATTTAGTACATCTGTTCATTTTGACTTTTGCCTTTTTGAGGATTGTTGGAGTTTGGGGTGGAGTTGATTAATTTTATTTGGTTAGCTGGATTTTGTTGTTTTATTTTTCTTTATCTTCATGATGAGCTTATTCCTAAGATAGAGGATCTGTGAATGACCAGTGAGCAAAATGTTGTCAAATGCCCAAAGTAGAAGCTAAACAAGAATGGAAGAGAGTTTCCTTTAAGACTTTGCTGCTGTGATGTTGATTAGAAAACTCAAAGGTGAAATATGCCTGGGCTGTTTTGTGTTGCCTTTAGAAAGTGACCTAATATAAAGCCCAGGAAAAAATATTTCCCAAGTGCATGTTTCAGAGCATAATTATCTTCATAAGAAATTTTTGTTATCGCTATACTTAGTCAAATTGGGATCTGGATACGCCTATGTACTTCCTGTAGTCAACAAAAGAAGAGCAGCTGCATTTACAGATATGCTTATTGATTGTTCCTAATCCAGTGAAGGTAAGAAATAACAGTATATTATTTTCAATGAGGCTAGCTAGTTAAATACTTCTTTAATTCAGTAGAGAGCTGCTGCTGCTTTACATGAAGCAGTTGCAATTAAAATGGGTTGAGATAGGAGGGAGTCTAAAGGACAATATTACAAAAGATTCTTGGCACTGAGTAGACAGTACCTGCATTAAATAAGAGTTGTTTTATCTCTCTGAGTTAGGAGCAACCATTTCTGCTCTTCTGGGTTGAAAATGTGGTTTTAATCTTAATCTTTCTATCTAAATTTGCTCTCTGTTGCTCTCTAGATAGGAAGGTCCTCAGTCTGTTCTGGGGCCATAGAAGTCCTTCTCTGAGGAAGAGCCTGAAAATGCCTGAAAGAAGTCTGGCTGCTTTCTTCTCTGCTTTGGCCCAGAAAGTAATCACCTGTAGAGTTTGGCATCAAACCTGTCTCTATAAAGCAATCTGTCAAGAGGGAAAGACAAAACAAATCTGTGCATTTTTACTCTGTGTGTAAGGTGGCAAGAGAGGAGGGAGTGAGGAGCTTGTGTTGAAGGATGGGAAGACAGGATGTTTGCTGTTGAGATTTTGTGGTTTTTTCCTTTAATTCCCTTGTCTTCCCTTTCGAATAAGACAGTCATAGTTTCCATGGAAGAGTGATTATTTGAAAACCAATGGAATAATGTCATATGAGTCACTTAAAATCTTAAGTGTTTGAGAGAGAAGGAGGGTTTTTGTCAGATTGCTTAAGGATGAGGGAGATTATTATTGGGGTGATTTAATTTTTTGCTAGAAGTAAAAAGGTGATTTGATCTTACATTTTTAAAATTGTTTATTTCTCTAAAATTTCAAAGGTTAGCAGAGACACCCAGTATGGAGGACATTTTTCTTTATTCCATTTGTATTCTAAAATAGAAATGGTTAAACTACACTTACAGACTGAAAGAAATGGTAGTGGCAGATTGCTGTCAGTTCAGGAGCTGAAACTCTCAAGGAAATGGGGAGTGCATTGTAGATTTTAAGGCTGCTGATTTGTGAATTTAGATTTTTTTTTTTTTTGTTATTCATGCCTGTTGTACTGGGCCCCAATAAACCCTTCTGTTTTTCTTTAAGTGTCTGAAGGGATTCCTGGTTGTTAATATTAATTTAGAACTCATGAAGTCATCAGTCATGCTACAAAAATCCTCTCCCCTCCCCTTCCCTCCCCTTTTGTTTTCTTACAATTTACTAAAAAGTAATTTGTTAATAATGACTCTTAGGATATTTTTCATGGTAATGCTTGAAGGCCAGAGAGCTCTGGAGCCTGGAATGCCAAGTATGTTCTTCCTCCCTGATTCCTGACCCTCTGCTGCGAGCGGCTGCAGTGAGGCCGGAGAGCAGAAGTGTTTGCAACCTTGTTTCTTGGAATGTGCTTTGTCCAAGTGAACAGCTCTGTTGTTTACAGTATCTTAGGACATGGTGTAGTACAGCAG